TGCTGTGTGGTAGAAGCGTTAGCGAGCTTCCCGAGTTAGAATCATAGAATGGAATCACGGAATCATTAAGGTTGGAGAAGACCTCTAAGATCATCAAGTCCAACCAAAACTTATCCTCAGAAGGTCCTGCAGTTCGTAAGGTCCCATATTCTCCCTAGAATAAAATCTGCTATGTCTCACAAGGCACATTTTGGAGGAGGCCATGTAAAGAACAGCGCTACCTTTTTTTATATTCAGCAATTCAACAATTCAGCATTTCATTAGCCTTACAGACAATTTCTGGTTAGTCTTCTGAAAGGCAGGCAGGGCAGGCAGGGGATTACAAAACAATTGGCCTCGTAATGCAGTGAAAACCTGAATATCTCTCTAACTCTTCTATCCTCCTAAAAATTCTTATTTCAGCACTGAGAAGATAAAGGAATCTATATTTTAAAATTAAAATGGATGCTCAAGAATTACACTGATCCTGAAAAACTGGAAGATGAACCTTCCCTTTAAACTACACAGCCTCACAACCCTGAAGAGAAAGAAGGGAACTGCTTCCATTTTTATGTGTCACCTATCTTTAGTCCTCCAAAATGCAAAGAGATGCAAAGACTGCGGTATTACAGAAATGAGGCTTGAAATAATTTATACTGAAGAATTCCCACTGTCCCCCCCGACCAGTTATAAATATTGATGGGGTGTTTAAGGCAGTCAATCACACAAATAATTAACATTCATACATACTGCGCAGGGAATTCAACATACACTTCTTGTAGGCTCTTCCTTAACATTCGTGCACATTACCTCTGCGGACAGAGATGTGATTTTATGAAGAGAAGCCGAGATCCTCAGCTGATGCCAAAAGCCCTCCTTCTCAGAGGCCTGCCACGCTCCGGATTACCTTGGAGTGGCAGTATCAGAGAAACAGCTTTGTTATTGATTCTTCTGCATAAATCGTGGAGAAAACAGATATCACCCCAACTATTGGTAAGGAAATGGGCTGTGTCATGATGAAGCCAACTAATGGAGACACATTGTGCTGTGGTGAAGAGTTGTGCCAGTGTCTTCCTCAGGAGGCTCCGTTGTGCATGGGCCAGACTCGCTATCTTCTCCCCATCACAGCCAGGGTCAGTCCATCGCAGAAGACTGTATTGCTCTCCAGCAGCGTAAACCAAGACAAAACTTTGAGAAGTCACACTGTTGTGTCTCACTGTTCTGGTTTTACTAGGACTGAGTCAAATTCCACTTATGCACCTGGATTGCCAGAAAGATGGCACGGACACCTGACTTGTTCTCCATTAGAGGAGTCCAGGGGACATGCTGCTGAGAGTTATGTTGAATGCAAACATGATTGAAAGAATACCATTACGCTATAAATGTTTGAAGAACCAGCAACTCTTGAGCAGTCTGCATAAAGAGTCATAGGTTGGAAAAGACCTTTAAAATGATTGAGTCCTACCATAACCTGTCCATCACTAAACCGTGTCTCTCATCTACCCGTCTTTTCAACATCTCCAGGGATGGTGACTTCATCACTTCCCTGGGCAGCCCATTCCAGTGCCTGATAACCCTTTCAGTGAAGACATTTTTCCTAATATCCAATCTAAACCTCCTGGTGTAACTTGAGGCCATGAATTTACAAAGGAATAAAGAAATTAAGGAGCAAACAAAAAGAGAGCAGATGCCACCATATCTCCTTACCAGAAGAGGCTTTGTGAGTCTGCAAGGGCTATGCAGCAAGCAGCGATGCAGAGCACTGCAGCTCATCACAACACAGCAAGGTGCATGAGGTCCTTGGGGAAAACACGTGGCTCTGGGAGCAAGCAAAGGCTGAGATTTCTGGTAACAAACCCATCCTCTTGTATAACAACAAGGCTGTTTCAGGTATTTCACTGGTAAAATGTGAAACTTGAGTAAGAAAGAGTTTTACCTCTCTGCCTTACTAAGTGAGTCAAAGCAGGGATTACCACACCTCTTCCAAAAAAAAGGGACAGTTTGAACTTTCATAGTGAGGGCTAGACTTTGCCTTTTGGCCTTTGAAGGCTGGACTACTTGCTTTTAGGTAGATATAACATAGATGGAGCTATTTTTTGCATAATGACATGTTTAACCAAGAGTCCCTTAGCAGAAAATTAAGAGTTATTTCCTTTGGATCTCTATAATTTAATGCTGTTTACTAAGATGTTACTGTTTGAGGTGGTAATGTGGGCTGGATAAACCTCCATTAATTGCAGATACATCAAAGTAGGTGTAGAAACCCCACAATAATAAAGTATCTGTTTCTGATCCATTAGTCATTTTTACTCATGCCTGGAGAACTGTGGCCGTGCTCCTCTCTCTGTTGAGCGTGTACTTCTGATAAACATTGCAGCCACACCAACGGGCAGCAAAGCAAACTTACCCCTTAAGATTAATGCAATGGAGGGAGAGATGCATGTAGATGCTTCAGAAATAACGCACAACTAAATACACAGGGACAGTGTATATGGTACAGAGGAGGACGAGTGGAAGCGGGAACATTCATGAGTCAGCTGGAGAAGGTGATGGCTTTTCAAGAGGGATGACTGATCTGAAAGATCTCAGCTGCTTCACCCAGGAGACCCAGTGTAAACCTTAGCCTGAGCATTTCTGGTTTCTCTCTCTCTCTGAATGCTTACTTTTTCATTGTCATCATCACTTTTTTCAGATGAATCACGATCAGTCAAGGTTGAAGAACAGAAGAATGGGAAGAACGATGAGTAACTGGAGCACGGTGTTAAAACATCAGCAATGGCACCCCAAAAAAACAGACAGTGAACAAGGAACAGCAAGGTGCTGCTGTGCCTCCCACCGAAATGTTCTGGAGGTCAGTCAGAAGCATGGAAAGAAAAACACAAATGCAAAATACTTGCATATGTGTTTAAACAAACTAAAAGGAACTTCATATTCCAGTGCTTTGGCTGCCGTACTCTTTATGCATAAATAAATTTCACATTCAGCCCCCCTTGACCAAGTCATCTTAAAGTATGTATGTGCGTGCATGTCTCTATTATCCACAGAGCTACGCATGTGTTTGAGGAAAAGTTAAGCACTTGGTGACCACCTTTGATTTCGTACTTTCATATGTCAGCATGACTGAACACAGGCATGTTCCAACCCTCCCGTGCTCAGCTCAAGCGCTCACAGCCAGAAATACGGGTACAGCTAACACATACTGCTCTCTCCCTAGTACTACTTTTCCTGGAACAAAGTGCAAATCTGCAAAATGCAAGTTCACCAGGAGAGACAGTGCAGTCGAGGCGGCTGGTTGGCTGTTTATATGTCACAAGGAAGGCCCTACCAGAGAGAAATTATCTTCAGTTGTTGGCCTTCAGCTCGTTCCAGCTCTGTGAAGTTATACAATTTCTTCTTCTTGGAAAAATTTGCTCATATAAACAGATCTCTCCCATGATAAGAGGGAAATTTCAGTGAGAAAGGTATGTGTCAACACTGATGTTTCTATGTATTTGTTAACAATAGGCCCCAAATAATATGCTTTCTATTTGGTTAAATTGCATTTGGAGACAGCAAAGACATGGCACTTAGCTATCTGATAATTCCATTATAATTCCATATTCATTGTCCTCAGTGCTGGTGCTTTGAGATCACATATGCAAGCAGGTGAGAAAAGGATGGGTGAATCCCCTTGGGCTGTGTCCTCTTCTGCACAGATAGATTCAGGCAGCTGGGATGCACAATACCTGGAGGTGCTATTAACTACCAACTACTTACCATTAAACACAATGGTGGTGACGCAAGAAAATCTCCAGCTGCACATTGTCAGTAACAAGGAGACGATGCCAGAGAAGGAAAAAAAATATCAGTCTGTATTTGGCTTTCCTTACATTCTTTTTTTTTACATATTCACTACTGGTCCCTACTGGAGGAAACATATTAGGGTGGATGCATCTTTGGTTTTGGCCAGTTCAGCCCTTCTTTTGTCTTATTTCCCCTCTGTTTAGACCAACATGCTAAATTCTTAGGAGAAATAACAAAACTGGGCTTCCACAGTGGTGAGTTGATCCATCTCTCTAACGCCCTGCCCAGCAGGTCCTAACATCACTGGTATCTACAGATTTCTAGAAACAGAAGTCTCCCAGGACTAAATCTGAACATGCTTTAGCACGGTGAATTTGGTAATACTTAATTATAATTACGTATGTGGCAGCAGCTGATTATGAAAATCCTTCCTTATTCTGTGACCGTGAGTCACGCTGCTTTGCAAGTCACCACAACGGTGGGTAGGTTTTCACCCTTACATCACGGATGTGGTTAAACCTGGTCATCGTCGCAATGTGAGCAAGTAACTGAATCAGGAAGCGTTTTCAGCTCCTAACAAACTTGATTAAACTCAAATGCTAGTGGTTATTCTTTAGCTATTCCGTGCCAACCCACTCGTCGTATACGAAATACATTTAATAAATAAAACATATACTTATGCGACTGCCATCTTCCAGAAACGGATGAGAAGTGTCTGCCTTGCGGGATGTTCTCCAAGCTCTACCGAGCAGCTGCAGTATGCACAGCCATTTCAAGGATTTTCCGTGATTATAAAAGCACGCTGGCTAACTCTGAATTAGACTGAACTGCCTCAATTATACAACTCATTACTACTTCCAAGCATGCTTAGCGGAAAGAACAGGAGTTGTAAAGTAATGGATGACGGGAGATAAATTGGCGTGCGTATGAATCAATGTTTAAACAAAGGAACTCCAGCTCTTTCTTGGAATAGCAACATTTTGATGTCTCAAATCCCCTGACACTGGTTTCATAAACGCAGTAACGTAAACCATGTGCTGGGTGGTGATTTTCTGAGGACCTTCCCACTTTCATTGTGTATTTTATTACAGGCCAAATGTGACATTAAATGCTATCTGCTGCGGCTTGGAGTTAAATACGTGCTCTGTTCAGAATAGCAACACTCAATTAAACAGCATTTTTCATGATCTACACCCTCTATTGTCGCTGTGTTTAAGGGAAATAATGGGAGCACTGACCTATATTGCGTTTCTTATTATCGATGGAGATGAAGCGTATGCAGGGATTATCGGTGATGTACTGTGCAGCCCAGGGGACATCAATCTGTGTACCAGCTTCATAAAAAAGTCCCAGAGCGTAGCGGGAAGAGTAGCTCACAGATTCCAGTTGCTGCTTTTGACTTTCATTAATTACTGTGGGGGAAAAAGAAAAAAAAAAAGAAAAAGAAAAATCAGACAATCCCTCTTCCCTCAGAACATTAAACATGCGAATGCTACGGTTAAGCTGATTATTCCTTCCTGAAAATGACCGGATTGCTAAAACTAAGACTTTAATATTAAGCCTAGTGCTTTGTAATATATTTTCTGGGACACCTCTTCATGAAGTTTTAATGGCGCACTATGTAGAGTACGTCCTTCACACACCACCCTCCCCCATCTGCTGGTGGCTTATCTCCCAGCTCTCCGCTAGTTGCCTCTGACTTGAAACTTCAATGACTGGTGACTTTTTTCCAAATCCTTTCTCAAAGGGTGAATAAATGGGAATAAGAGCTTTGGGCTGCCTCTCACGCATCACATACGTGATTGTATAACTCTGCAAAAACCCAGACGACTTCACATATCCATGAAATGAACACAGGGACTCTTGAATCTCAGGGGCAAACAGCCCTGCAAGTTCTGTGCTGTAGTTCAAATGGATGAAGAAAACTACACTTCAGCACACAGGGTTCATAGTTAAGTTCAGCTCAAGTCATCTTAAAGCAGTTTAGAAATTTCAGAGCAAATATGAATCCATTCCTCCCTATGATTAACTCTTTTATCTTCTAATTACAGGAAGGTTTGCTTTTTGCCTCAATTTTATAACCTTCATAAAAAGATGTACAAAGCAGCATTAGCCCCACTGTGCATTCAAATACTGTTTTATGTCATGCCAAAGAGAAATACCACAGTTTGCTTAATTGTGAAGGTAGGTACCATGTCTCTCTTCATCCTACCGAATGGATGGCCAACACTTCTGCAAGCTGGAGCAGGACGTGGAAAGACAAAATCACAGTGGTCTCCCAATTATATGTGGAACTGCACGCTCTGTTGGGCTTCTTTGGAGATTTGATATTCAGAGGCAAAAGAACAACAACCAAGGTGCCTCATTTTGTGTAAAATTCAGCTGACACAATGAACATCCTGTATGAAGAAAGGAGCAGCTGATGGCTGCGCCCACCGTGGCACATCCCACAGGCAGCAGACCAGGTGTTGTGGTATCTACTGAAGGACTTCAGCACAAGTCCTGCCCTAGAACAGACCAGCCCTGTGTGGGGCCAGGCTCGGATGGGTTGGAGGGGGCAGCTCTCCACGCAAGGCTCTGCAGGCAAGAGATGCCTGCAGACTTGTGCACACCAAGCTGACCAGGAGCCAGCAATTAAGCCCAACCAGCCCACTGGGAGAGCATCCAGCAGGTCAAAGGATGGTATTATTCCCCTCGAGTGAGGACAGCACTTGCAGCTGTGGTGTCAGACCTGCTGGGAGCAGTGTTAGGCTGGAGACCCCCACCCTGATGCCTCCAGCTGGAGTTGGTGGGACTGTGATTCTGTGTACCTCACCCATGCCACAGCCTCCTCCATGCAACTGCAATTAACGTGCTCCAAAGAAGAATGCTGGCATGACTGACCTTGCTGTCATGACTAAAATACTGCTCCTCAGAACTTGCAACCAGGGTGACTCACAGGAGAGGGCACTGGACACACAGCCAGCCTCAGGCTTGGAGCAGCTGCAGCAGGGCACTGGGGGTCTGGGCGAGCCAAGGCATCCCAGGGAGGGGGATCCCCATTGCTCAGAACCCATCCCAAGGATGCTCTGCTCTCACGGGGATGGGCTGCTTCTGTAGGGCCACCAGCTGGGGTTTCCCATGCTGCAGCTTGTGCCTCTGGGGCTCCTTCTGACCATACCATAAACTAGAAATGACCAACACCCTTTGTCCCAAACAGTCAGGTTTACATCTCAAAATTGAGAAGTGTATCAATTCAAATACCGATGTACGTTTGCTGACCGATTAGCTTAATTATTGCTTAGGTTTTTTAAATATAATGTCTGTGGTTCAATGGATTCTGTTTCAAATTTACAAAAATGAGGAAGTTTTTATAGCTTGAGACGACAGGCAGTAAAGTGATGTCAAGTTTGAAATCCAGCAACAAAAAAGCTGAACTGTATGCAAAACAATGCTATGGGTTGTAAGAGTGAGGTTTTTTCCCCTGCTCCATCCATTATGTGTTTTAGCAAGGCCAACAAGTTGATCTAAGGACATGAAGAGGGCCTTCATTTTGAATTTCCATACTTTTATTGGTTTAAACGAAAACCAGACTCTTGTTTTAATGTTGTGTATGAAACCACAAAATAACTATTAATTTTTTCCCTTCCAACAAAAACGGTTACGATTATTTTAATAACATTTTGGAAAAAAAAAAGAAACCCCAGCTTTCAGACCACAGAATTGTCGTACAAGACTCAGCCATAGTGATATTTTTAAAGCAATGCATAAAGACGTGAAAATCTTGTATTTTCCACTGAAAAACTCAGCTACAGCTGCACTGTGAATGCCACTGAAGTAAGCGTCCCCTAGAGATTTCACAACATCAAAGCAAGGGGCATGTATACTTTATTTGCTGTTTCTCTAGACACTGACAGCAGAGTGGATTACTTATCTGTAACACTCAATAAATATAGCAAGGGCCTTTTATCTGCTGTTCCAGTACTTTAATGTCACCTCACTGCCTCACTCATGCTGTGGGAAGGAGAGGACCCAGAGATCCCATTAAGGCCAGCAAGAGAGAGGAGAGCCAAGGCTTCAGCTGGCAGGCGGGGAGCTCGGGCACTGGGCCATTCAGGAGGCCAGGACCAAGCCCAGCCTACCATGGCAGAGGCCAGGGAAGCAAAAATAAACCCAGCTGCTCCCGTGGCCAAGAGCGGACTAGGATGATGAAGGTTTAATCCTGGATGTTTAGTCATTTGCCAGTCATTTGTGAGGGAGGGGTTGCAATACGCACCTTCATCTGCAGAAACGCACTGCAGGAGCAAGGTGGCACCTGGGTCATTCACCGCCGGCTCAGGGCAGTTGAGTCTCTGACAACCTGCAAGGACTTGACTTGCAACTGAAACTTTGAGCAAGCAGAGATGGTGAAAAGACACCATGGGTCAGTAAAGGATTCAGGTCAGTCCGGCAAGAAGCAGGTTACCCGTAACTTCATGTGAAGCCCCATGTACCTGTCACTGTAGGTCACAGCTCTTGGGGACAGGGAGAAACCACTGTCAGAACTGCAGGGAAAAGCAGATGCTACCATGTGAGACGCATTTAAAATAATGCTTGTTCTGGAAAGTTTTGCTATTCCTAATTCAGCACTTCTCAAAGTTTGTGGATACTTACCTCCCCATCAAGTCACCAAATTATTTCAAAGCTCAGCTGGGACGCTTGTATCCAGCTCTTGCATGCACGTAAGGGTGTGTGGGCAAACTTGGGTAAGCAAATTGAGATCCTAGTTTGAAACACTTTCAGGGATGAGAGAAAACACTCTTTGTTTCACCGTCCAGTCTGGCTGGGTGGCACAGAGGATGTCGCATCCTGACAACCAGCAGCTCCAAAGAAAACAAACAGCCAGATACAGTTTGTGCTATCACATGCAGTTATCTCCAGACGTGTACAAATTCGCTTACTACGTACGGCCACGGTAACTGTAAATCTAGAGACACCTGAACGTTACCAGCCACCAATGCACTAAGAAAAAGAAACCTACAGCAGTACTTTTAAGGAATGACAGTGCTATTAAAGCAGCAAAATATGAGTATGCTGGACTTTTAGATTTTTCTTTTAGGAGAAGATCACTCTTTCTAGTCTTAAATTCTTTTACTGGAAACTCCTTGTTCTTCTAATATTTTGACAGCTTTAGCTTTGGTGAGAATAATATTAGAGCATGGTTTCAGCTTGGTGACATTTCCATAGTATCCTTCCAATTTAGTGTAACTCCTGCTCTCAGCACCTTCTTAAGCCATTCCTAGCAAGCTGGTCTGGTGCAAGCATGTCTGATGGGACCCGTGGTTTCTGCGCAGCACAACAGTCCTGCTGGGGTTGTAACAAACCAGGAAAAATGAAAATACTCTGACGGATACTGCGATTTGTATCTAGGGATGAAACAAGCCCCCTGCATCCATCCACAAGGATTACAGGAAGGAAAAGCTGCTTCTACAGTTACCCTCTATTTTTCCCTGCTCGAGTTTTAGTAAGCAAAAACTTCAGTTGTAGCTTTGCTAGTGACCATGGCTTACGCAGTGCCTCGGTACCAGCTCCTGCTTTGATTTATTTGCAAAGAAAATATCCCCTTCATCTCTTGAAAGGCTCAGCATCACAGTGGAACAGCAAGATGCCCCTGCACCCCAAGAAAACCAGCTATTTTTGGCGCTGCCCAGCCACTCCCCAGTTTTCAGGACCTCTTCTGGAAAGAAAACCTGTCCTGCCCAACTCCCAGTCCCACTTGCCATGGGATGGCCAAAGAGAAACAAATTGTCCTGCCCATTTCCTCTTGTTCTCTTGCCCACCTTCCATAAAACTTTGTCAGACATACGGATTCAAGAAAACCTGGCAAATGTATGAAGGATCATGGTAGGTGTTGCTTATTTTCCAGCAGATTGATAAGCTGGTGCACCAGCTCCCTATAATCCCCGAGTACTCAACTCAGCCTTTGACTTGGCAGGTTTCTCTCCAGCTTCTCCATTTTTTCCATGCTTTATTTCTGTCACCATACGTTTCTCTCACACCTATGCTCTCAATAGCTGTGCCACTGACGCTATCCTCCAAAATGTTTTGTTATTTCCTTCGACTACTTTGCTTGAGACTGCATTTGCAGCATCTACATCACTGATAGGCTGACAGCAAATCTAATTGCATCAATCCTCTAAATGCGTTGTCGGTGACATGGTATTTTTAAGTGGCCAGTGATCACTATTTTAAAAGTTAAAAAGGAAACTCTGCGGTTAAACGGCAAGAAAGATATTTTTAGCCTAGGTATCAAGTTAAGAGATTTTAGTAACGCAGCTTGGCTAAGTACCTGGAAATACAGTTTATTGTCACAGCTTACAGACCGCTGCCACGGCTCTGTTCAGGAGATGAATTATTGATGGCACGTTATCGTATCCTTCACACAGTGAAGTCTCCGTGGATGCCAACCGCTTCTTCATCAGCAGGCGTGCAGAGACCTTTCCTACTGCTCTCCAGGGCAAGAAGCCACTGCCCCAGGCTCACAGGTTGAGTGGTGACCAAGGACGGACTTTTCAGGCAATCTCCCAGTGCGCAGCCATCGGCTCCAACACCGCACCGTGATGCCGTCCCTCTGCCACCACGCTGACCGCTTCAAAATGCACGCTGTTCCTGCCTCTGCCTTTGCATAGGAGGGAGCAGAGGTTATGAGAAAAGCTCCGTTCTTAAGTTCAGCTTCCTTATCAAACAGCCTGAGATTTTTTTTTAAAAGACAGCATAATAGTTAAAATACAACCATACCTCTACCTGCATTGAAATAGTCACTAAACACAGGTATGTGTTACAATACACTTTTCATTGTCTTATTATGCTCAGCTTTTGTTTGAGCAATCCTGTTTGGATCCAACGCAACGCTCACTCCTGTGCGTATGCAATGTCTGTAACAACTTAAATAATTATTTCAAATCACTGGGGTCCTGGCTGACTTGGCATAAAGCTTCCTTATCTAAAGTTTGTGGCATGTAAAGGAAAGGCATACTTAGAAATGTAGATAATTAAGTGGAAAAGAAAGATGCCGGGGAAAAAAAAGACTATACGAGTGATTTTTTATGAAGTTTATGATTTTGAGAACTGAGTTTGGATACCTGTCCACCAGCTGCTCTTGACAAGGTGATCATCTATTCTATTGTTAATTCTCAATACTAAGTTTTGTTTTCTTAATTCGTCATAAACAGTCTCCCTTTTTTAATATTATCAATGGCCAGGAATTTCTAGCTGTCACATAGTTCAGCTTAAATGTTTCCAAGCTGCTTCTCTTCAGTTCATTAGTTTGGCCTCAAGTTGCCTAGACATTTTATCATCCTCAGATGCGTCATCTCACAGCTCTGCTAATTTCCAGGTAAGGAATTTTAATTCCACTTTCTTCTACAGCAGTAAATCCAGACCTACTGATGAGGACCTCATTGCATCCTGACACATCTCTTGGAAAGGAGAGTGTTGGATCTAGTGAGAATGTTCTCCCAAAAATACTCTCCTGAGGCATGGCTAGACACATCTCCAATCACACCGACCTTGTGTGGTCACCTCACTGAAGAAGTGTGAGCCACACTGTATTTACAGAACAAAACCCAAAGTGAAAAGGGATTCTGAAGTCAGTCTTAGTATGACGAGTCCTGAAACCCCTCAGGAGAGGTAGAGTTGCTGCAAGGAAATGTTTTTCCCCATTTGGTAAAGTTCCGTCCTCTCCCTTGGATTGGTGAGCTGAAAACCCAAGAAACAGCAAATCCCGCTGTTTATGTCACCATGCGCTGAGGGAAGCGTTGACTGATTAAAAGGCAAAAGGATCACGATCAGAAAGCTACCAGTGAGAAGTGGAGGAATGGCCCTGACACAGAGACATGCCAGTATCGAGGTGCTAGAAAATTCAGGACAAATCACACACAAATATTTGCAGGAAAAAAAAAGGACTAAATTATATTTGGAGGAAGTCTGTGATTTTCTACTGTTGAGAGAAATCTCCTCATCACAAGCTTAAACACCGAATACATTTAAATGTAATTTTAACTCCGAATGAGGCTTTCAAGCCAATGTTTTCAAAGGCATACAAATTATTTCAGAGGGTGGGTTCGTATTGCGCTAAGCCAGGACTGAGAGAACTCTGCTTAGTTTGTCGATACACTTACCTATAAGACAAGCAATGGGAAGACCTAATAGGTTTCACGGGAAGAGAGGAAAACAGAGACAGAAAGTGAGAGGCATTCAGAGATGACACAAGGCAAATACCCTTGTTTCTCACCTCATTACTGGGAGAAATAAATACTTGCTAAAAGCAATAAACCACAGACGGGCATGTGTAAACGCAATGCCCATGCCAGAACATCCACTACCTAGCACTAGTAGCTTTCCAATTATCAGCCTTTTGTCTAATTGCTCCCTGGCCCAAAGGATTTTTATGAAGTCTTTAATTTCCCCCAGATACTTTTTCAAAGCAGCCAGTAAATGTACCTGCCTGCCTTATCAGTATTTTAGGGAGTTACGGAGAAAGTAATAAAACCATAAAATTCTTTCTGTCAAGAGGAAAAGAAAACTTTTCTGGACAGCAAATTTATTATAAAACACAGTATCTAATGAGAAAGTTTATTTTTAGAAGCTATCTGCACTGTAATAATTAGTTCAAGAGAATTTGGGACACGCCGTTTCAGGAATCCATAACCTGAGATAAAGCTACAAAATACTGGAGCATCACTGGGCTGATGATCCTTATAATCATACTGTGAACATCTACAGATCCAAATTTGGATAGCATTTAAAGCTTAATTTTCACAATACTGTGTACAAAATGAAATCCATCCACGTCTTTCAGAATTTATATTACTCTCATCTTCTCGAAAAATGCCCCAGATAAACCATTTTCTTTTAATGTCACACCAAGTTGTTAGCTCTAAGATCAACCACCAGAACTATGAACTGCACAATAATCCTCCTCACATCAACAAAGAGACCCAGGATCGAAAAGGCCATTTAGAACTACTCATGCCACACTGACACTGTCCATAGGTAGAGCTCACATGAGACTCACTTTTTCTTTTTCTTTTTCAAAAATCAAATAGGTTGTGGCTGTAATTCTTCCTGGTTTCTATTTTGCTTTTATTTTTTCCCCCTGCAGCTGAATTAGTTACAGACTTTACAGGGCTTTCCTCCCAGAACTTCTAATAAAGCAAACTCTGAAAAGCTGAAGCAAACGGTTTCATCCTTTTACTATTTTTAGAAGCACATTTGAATTCTTATGTGCATATTTCAGTAACTAAAAGGGCAGGGGAGAGGGGAAAACATCATTTCCGATGTATTCCAGCACTGCAAATGGAAGAATGTGATGCAGTGGATAGAAAAAGACAGGAAGGAGAGAAAAGGGAAGAAACCAGTTTTGAATAAAGAAATGCAAGGAAATAAGCAGAAGGGCAGATGAGAATCGAGGTACCAGGCAGTATGTACAGAAGAAAGACAACGTGAAATACAAGGCAACAGGACAGAAAGAAAAGACAATAGAAAACACAGTAGAAGTAACAGATTTACAAACAAAAAAAGAGTCTAAGGAAAATAACTTTTCCAAATGGAAGTGAAAGATGACTCGAGAGAAATGTGAACTAAATGAGAAAGACATAAACTGAAGTCAAAAGAGAGGCAGACCACAAGGAAAGCTCACAACCGAGATTAACAGATGCACTTCTGCACTTCCATGGCAGATGTTCTGTCTCCCTAAATTCGGAAGGGACAACGGGATGAATCCTTTTACTGAATTGCCTGGGTACTTGATTTTCGATTACGTGATTTAAGAATTAAAAGTTGCCTTGGCTGGTGCTAAATGCCTCAACCATATTCTGGTACCTTCACTATGGGTAATCTGGGCTTTGGAAATACTGCTTATGCAAAAATAACTTTTTTGTTTCCTCCTTCAACTGTCCAGTTTTGCAGCACGTGCCAGTTTGCAGGTCTGTGTGCCCTCTTCAGGTCCAGACCTTAGCCGCATAAATAGGCAGGCTCTTTAGCTCCTGGTGTTTTCATACTAAAAATTTGCAGAATCGCAGAATGGTAGGGGTTGGAAGGGACCTTTGAAGATCATCCACTCAAACTCACCTGCTGTAGTAGGATCACCTAGAGGAGATCACACAGGAACACATCCAGGCGGGTTTTGAATGTCTCCAGAGAAGGAGACTCCACAACCTCTCTGGGCAGCCTGGGCCAGGGCTCTGTCACCCTCACAGTTTAAAAGATTTTCCTTATGTTTAAGTTGAACGTCCTGTGTTCCAGTTTGTGACCACTGCCCCTTGTCCTGTCACTGGGCACAACCAAGAAGAGTCTGGTCCCATCCTCCTGACATCCATCATTTAGATATTTATAAGCATTAATGAGATCCCTCCCTCAGCCTCCTCTTCTCCAGGATAAACAGACCCAGCTCTCTTGGCCTTTCCTCATATGGGAAATGCTCCGGTCCCCTCATCATCTCTGTGGCTCTACGCTGGACTCTCTCCAGTGGTTCCCTGTCCTTCTTGAACTGGGGAGCCCAGAATTGGACACAGTGTTCCAGATGTGGCCTCACCAGGGCAGAGTAGAGGGGTAGGAGAACCTCTCTGACCTACAACCACCCCCCTCCTGATACACCCCAGGATGCCATTGGCCTTCTTGGCCACAAGGGCACAGTGCTGGCTCTGGCTCATGGTCATCCTGCTGTCCCCAGGACTCCCAGGCCCTTTTCCCCTGAGCTGCTCCTCAGCAGGTCAGCTCTCATCCTGTACTGATACATGGGGTTGTTCTTCCCCAGATGTCATACCCTACATTCACCCTTGTTGAATTTCATTAAATTTCTCCCTACCCAACCTTCCAGCCTGTCCAAGTCATGCTGAATGTCAGCACAGCCTTCTGGAGTGTCAGCCACTCTTCCCAGCTTTGTACCATCAGCAAATTTGCTAAGGGTACACTCTGTCCCATCGTCCAGGTCACTCGTGAATATATATATTCATGTATATATATCTTCAACAGAGCTGGACCCAGAACCGACCCATACCACTAGACACAGACCTCCAACTAGACTCTGCCTCACTGACCACAACTCCCCAAGTTCTGTTTTATTAAAACAAACATTTAATGTTATGAAATAAGGGACACAAAAGATGAACTGGTGAAATAAATCTAGTTTGTTGGTCACTAAAGAGACTGTTACCAACAGGAGTCCATCCAAATGGAGGCATTTAAGAGAGGTTCCCAGATGTCAGTTGTTCCTTAAGACAAAAGATGGGAATTTACTTTGCTTCTGCAGATAACTTAGTCTAGAAAAGCCATGATCTTTCCTTTTAAAGTATCTCACATAACTCAGGCAAGTTCAGTTAACCACAGAGGACTCGCATCTAATGCAGGATTGCCTGCAACTGCAGAAAACCAGACATGAACCTCTCAGTGCACGCAGCAGCTGACACTGCTACTGCTAACACCGTTCTGTCTGTCCAGAACTGCTTCCCCAGGTATGTCCTACAGACAGCTTTGCATGCATTGCTCCACATTTTAGAGCTAAAATGGGAAATGAGTTTATGGGGCTTAATACTGGACATCTCCTATCAACCAGAGGTTGGTGGAGCAGCCGTCGTTGTCATCTTTACAGTTCAAGGTTAAAACTGGTGACTCTTGACAATTTAAATGTCTCTGCTGACTGACGTGAACTTCATAGGAAATGTGTAGTCTGCGGTTACCAACACTTTACTGAAGCTAGACAGTTACCAGTTTAAGTTTTTTAAGAAGATTTTTAAATTTTTTATACATTACTCTCTAAAACTTAGCATTTGGTTACCAAATATAAATTAAAATTTCCACCCATTTACCTCTCAACCTCAGGCTTTAGAAGACATTGTCAGAACTTAAACTCCTTGAAGATTTTTACTGTAACTGCTGAGAAGAATAATCTAGGGAGCTGCTTTTCTTCTCCCAAATATGCTATGGGAGTTGTGATTTGCTCTTCTGAGCTGCAGAATCATGTCAGAACAGATCTATCATAAAGTACCTTAAAAATTATTATATTCTGTAATTGAATAAATAGCACCACTACCAGTAAAATACACAAAAACAATAAAATGAAAGCAGAAATGTTCATTTGTATTATTGTCCCAATATAGAATCAAAGAAGGATTTAGATCACATAAGGATGAATGACAAAGCATCTTCAAATACAGAAATACAACACTGAAATCTGTTACTATTTATAAAGACTTGACTAGAAACAAATAATAGACAGTTTCCACTCAAAAGTACTGAAACAGCTGGCTGATCTCCCTGTGGCCTCTTTGATGTAGGTTTTTAACATATCCTGGAATTCTAGGTCAATCACAGAGACGTGGAAGTGTTTGAACATTGTGCCAAAAGGACAAACAGAAATTACTCAGGTGGGGGGAAAAAAGCTGGTATCAGTTTCCAAGCATAGCCAATGACATCTGATGGGGAGCTCACTTAATAAAAATGACAGAATTAATGGCACCACGACTCAAAAATAAAAAAATCTTTCTTCAGAGGGACTGCCCATTTGGTTGATTAAAGTACATACAGGCAATACATGAATGTAAGGTATACAACTTAGCCCTGTATGGCATAATGGTGAAAAGAGCATCGTACTATAAGGATAAAGCACAGGCTAAGTGGGTCAGGAACCAGGGGGCTGAAAGGTCTCAAGAAGCAGCTGTCAGCAGGTATTTCTAGCAGGTCTCCGCAGAGACCGGTAAGAAGCTTAAAAGTATACAAACAACTTAATTGCTGAAAAATTAATGGCAATGAAATCTGCTAAT